TCTGCCCTCTTCCCTCTCGTGCTCTCTGTCTCTCTCTCTCAAATAAATAAATAAAATCTTTAAAAAAAAAAAAACAAGTCAGAGTAAATAAGTCAAGAAAGAGGAACAAAAAGCCTATATAAGAAACAATGCTAAGAAGTAAAACTAATAAAATGTAATCTAAATAATTATTGATATTGTAGTTGTGAATTTTAATGCAGTTGTAAGCAAAGTGAAAATGCCTAAGATAGATTTCTAAAATGGAGTACATAGGGTCTAAAACAACAACAAAATTAATAAAAACCTGAACTATGTTCCAGGTGATTTAAAAGAAGCAGAATTTTTGTTTGGATCATTAACCTATTATTGATACAAAATTTTAACAGTGTTTCTGACCTTCCCCCCGCCCCCCGCCATGAGACCTTTAGGACATCTTTATTACCTTTGCTTTTTGCCAATTTTTAATGTAAAAGACATGTAATATTTCACTGTTGACTCTTTAAAAATAGAACTAATTACCAAGGAGAGAAACATACATATGTAATACCATGGCTTAATTTTTTAAAAATTATCTTTTTCTTTTCCAGAACAACTCTCAGCTTTATGATTATTAACATCTGTGGTTTGGGAGCCATGTCAAATATTTGAGATTTCCCAATTCATGGACTTTGGCTTCCTGTTTTGCCATTTACTTTGGCAGGTCAAGAAAAGTTTGCAATTCTTTACAGAGAGAGATAGACTATGCAATGGGAGTTGAATAAATTTTATTTTTTTCCCAGGCTTCATGCACAAAAAATTGACCTGAGTCTTTTTATATAGTTTTTTAGTCCTTGGCAATCTGCTTACTTTTATCTTGTTTATACGCCTTTTGAAATTCTGCATCCCCTATGAACAGAACAGAGAAAGGAATTTGTTCATAATTATTCATTTGTCCAAATTAAGTGTTTCTGTGAGGCAGACTATGGGTTGCTTAGCTTTATCAGGAAAGAAAAAATTCAGCTTCAGCACATTCTGCCCATTCAGTACCAATTAGTCAAATAGATCATTGGCAGTTGTGTTTAGGCGTTAGTAGTGAAAAAAAATAGCTAAAGATTTCTCATACACATTTAACTACTTTGTTTGGTTAGTGATTGTTTTTACTTGTTTATTGCAGTTTCCCCATCTTGGTCTCATCATGTCCGACAGGCTAGTCCCATTTTCCTTGTTTACCATTTTACCCCTTATCCCTGAAGTTGAAAGGCCAAGTGCACAAACACAGGGTTTGTTTTATTCCCAACCAACCACTGAACCATCATTTCCCTACCAATAATTGGCTTAGGGAAGAAAAGGCAGAAAACAAAACAAGTTCATCATGTGCAGCTTGATCTGACTACACCCCCTTTCAGAAAGCAGCCTGGGTTAGGCGCCCATTTAAGGAATAAATGAAGAAGTAGCAATAAGGAAATTTTAATTGTTGCTGTACACAAAAAGAGAACTGTACGTTGACAGTGTTTCCAGAGTACTTTCCTAATTTTTCTGACAGTAAGTAATGCTCCGTTTTGTTGTGCTATGCCAAGTATGTGGGTGGACACTGCTAAAAATCATCTATTTTTCAGATGTTTCTAAATACTCATATGTATTATATTGAAGACCTAATGACAAACTTTTTCTTTTTATTCCCAACCAACTTTTATTGTGTAAGTACAACAGTAGAATATAGGAAAGTAGTAAAATTTGCTTCTGTACTAGCTGAGGGAGAATTGTCTGAATATTTTGTTATGCAAATAGAAAATAATTTAATTCTGAGATTAGAAAAACTGAAAAAAAATTTCTCGGCTTATTTGCAAACATTTGGGCAAAATTACTTTCCATGTGATGTCTTTTTCTTTCTTTCTTTCTTTCTCTTTCTTCCTTCCTTCCTTTCTTTCTCTCTTTCTCTCTTTCTCTCTGTCTCTCTATCTCTATCTCTCTCTCCTTACTTGGTAGTTTGTTCCCTCAGTTATTCAGGGACTTCTGAATTCAGAAAATTGAGATGAGTTGTTTTTTTTGTCTGTGTGTCACAATCAGGTTTCAGCTAGTCTGAGTTTGGATTCAGCAAGCTGAGCCTAAAGCTGTTCAGCTTAATCTGGAAGGTAATACTATAGGAAAACAGTTCATTGGGGTTACATCTAATGGACATAATTAATTATTCAAATGAATTTAACTAATCAGAATTTTGATTAACTTGATTGGCTCTGGCATTTCTATTTAAATGCAAAAAACAAAAAATTATTATTAATCAGATGAGATATAATTCAATTACTCTATTCATATAGTTGAGTTTCTGTTATAAAAGGTAAGAAAATGTGAAATATCTTACAGGTTCTAAAATCTAATGATATCTTTTCCATTGTTATACTCTGTATTTCTGTAAAATTGTGATACTGGCTACTAACTCCCCACCATTACCCACTCTCCCAAATAGCTTACTATGAGTATATTTGATGTAAAATTTTGCAGGCATGTGTTATTAAAATAATATTTTAAATACATTTTTTGTTGTTCTTAAAGGTAGGAAATATTTTCCCCCAAAATATGATCAAGATTTTTCTTTTCTCCCCTACTTCCCAGGGTTTTTCTTATTACACTTATTTTTCTAGTTTATGTTCCACCTTGTTTCCTTTTCCTTGTTTCTTAATGGCAGGCTAAATGCATATGAAACAGAAAAGTGTGTATCAGCAAACTCAAGCGCTTCTGTGCAAGAATTTTCTTCAGAAATGGAGAATGAAAAGAGAGAGCTTATTGGTATGTTTGAAAGTCTGCCTCTTTCTGCAGTTCACATCATTCTATTTTACTGCCTAATGATGCTCTTAGTTTATATTTTAAGTAGCAGACTGGATTTATTGATTTTGAGGTTGCCTCCCATTGTACATGTTGAACCAAGAGACTCATAACAGTCCATGACACGTAATGTAGAATTGCAAAAGACTAAAAATATTACTCATTTTTTTTTAAAGAGAGTAAGTGAAAATTCAATTGTATGGTAAATTGTAGCAACTTTTAAAGCTGCTACCATATGTAATAAAATTAGAGTAAAGAAATAATAAAAAGGATGCCTGGCAGAGCGACGTTTTAATTTGGGGGACTTATTTTCAAAGCCGTGAATTTTATACACAGAGATTATTTCCAAGAATTATAACCAAGTAATACCATTGATGGTCAGTTTGCATTAGGTAGGTAAGCTTTCTACAGGAAATAACCCCAAATCTCAGGGGCTGAACTCAGCAAAGATTTATTTTTCATTATACTCACAGTCTAAATAAGGTTGGCTGTGAAACTGAAATAGGTCTGGTAGGTGAAGGAATCTCCTCCACACAACCATTCAGGGACCCAGCCTTCTTAATCTAGGGACTCTCTCATCTCCCTAGGCCTTGGAGACCTCCCCGGGATCCCCTGCATCCAGTCAAACTATCAGGAAGTACAGGGGGATCTCGGTTGTTTGAGTGTCTGACTCTTGATTTCGGTTCAGGTCATGATCCTCAGGATTGAGTCCCGCAGCCGGCTCTGTGCTCAGCGGGGAATCTGCTTGAGGGTCTGTCTCTCTCCCACTCTCCATCTGCCCCTTCCCACCCCCATGCTCTCCTCTCTAAAATAAATAAATAAATCTTAAAAAAAAAAAGATCAGGAAGTACAGGGACTGAGAATATAGAAGGTTGTGCACGGTTTCACAAGCCAGGCCTTGAATGGGTATATAGCATTTCTGCTCCCATCCCATTAGCTAGAACTCAATCACTTGGTCCTATTTAATTTTCAGAGGCTGGGAGTGTTGTCTAGCATTGTGCTAAGCAGGAAGAGATTACTGATAATTGGTGAACCACTAGGCAGTCTCTACCAGTTAGTTCCTTTTCATGTTGTTTGATTTCCAATACAAGAATGTGACAACTGACAAAAATGTTGCTATTTGCCATCATGAACTCTGTCTGGGATAGTCTGTGTCTTATGAAGTCAGATGCCCATGCATAAGAATTGTCATCCTATTAGTCACCCTGTTAGTTTCTATGATGGCTTCTGCAGTAGTTCATGAGAGTGATCAAGACTGAGAGCAAAAAGAAGCCTACCCTGTGGCAAAATTGGAATTTGTCTTCAATGGTTCTTTGGTATTGACTGAACTTTTTAAGGGAATATAATCTAAATTCATTCTTTTTTCCCCTGTTATAGGAATGGGCACTCCCAATACTTCTGGGCCTGTACATGGGACTATTTTCACATTTCAGAGAAAACACGTATTTTCCTGAATTGCCTCCTCAAGATCTGGGAAAGGCAGATCATGTTAATAACTCTATAGCTATTGTATATACACCTATCTCTGATCTAACCCAGCAGATAATGAATAAAACAGCATTTGCTTTTTTGAAAGGTAGGTGTACTAATGGCGATAAAGAATTGCTGTTACTATTTTATATCTTTTTGATACAACGTAGACATGTTTAATTTGAACTTACAGTGAACTATTATGCTAATTATTTAGGTATCATGACAGCTTATAAATTTAGTTAGCTTTTTCTTTCCCTCATAACAAGTAGCCTTTTAAATCCTTTCAGCTTGATGGGGGTCCAGTTTAGGGAGGGCTACATTTCTACTGGAATTTACCTAAAACAATAAATTTATTATTTCGGATTTGTAGCATAGTGTTTAGGAGAATATGTCACTTGTGGGTGCAGATGTTCTTAACGTGGAAATACAGTGATTAAGATTGATAACTCCGGAAAAATAATCTAAATAAAAGAAATGAAGTCATGGTTATTAAACAGTAATTTCAGAACCATGAAAAGTAAGGATGGATAATCTAAAGATATCCTGTCTGTATATGGTATACTTTGTAAACATCTTTAGAGACTTTCATTCTAAATGAAGTCGCAGTGCAACTGAGATAACTAAGGTAAAATGTGTATTTCACTCATGGGAAAGGTGGGTGCAGTTTGGCTGTCTGCTCTCTAATCCTCAATTTCTAATAGGTGACATTCATGAGTTAGAGTCACTTTGCGATCTTAGTTTCCTCACAAGGCAAAGATCAGATGAGGTGTCTTTGCTTCAGTAAATCTGACATCTGGAATCCCTTGACTATATAATAACTACTCCAATTACCTCTATTTTTGTATCCCAATTCTCTTACGCATACTTACCCTAGCATAATATTTTTATATACCTGAAACTTGCCATAATACTTACCATTACTAAAAGAAAACACTAAATTCTCATGCAAGTCTCCTGATTCTATAATCTAAAACATTAAAAAAAATTTCCCTCCTTGTCTTTTGGGTTCAGTTTAATTTAAATGGAAAATGATTTTAGTTTAATTCCAGTGAAAAATATATGATGACACAGTTGGATATCACATTCCATTGTGGTGAAACTCTGTATAATCCTGCATGTCTATTTTTACTTTGTCATTTACAGAAAGAAGGATCATTGGAGTACCGAATCAAAAATCCATGGATAAAATACTTCTAGACAATATCACAGGCATTGTGGGAATTGTCTTTAATGACACTTTCTCTTATAAGTTAAAATTTTTTCAGGGATATCACATTCCATTTTTGAAGGAAGATCTTTTCGCAGGTGATTTTGCATATAAAATATCGTGGCATTTTTCGTGTTTTTAACATAAGGGATAGGTCAGGATGGGCAACAGAGATGCTTTTGATAGAACATGAGAAAATAGAGAAAGCACATTTTATTGCTAAACTTATTCCAAGGTCAATCATTTATTCCCACCAGAAGATGATTCTTAAAACATTATCGAGTCACCCAACAGATGTAAAGTGAATGCGCAGGTGAATGTTGCAGAGGATACTGAGAGTGATCAAGACTGAGAGGTCCTAGCGTCAGCTGAGGTTCCAGGTTAGCGGGAAAGGCAGACATTGAACAGTTAATGACAAGTGCAAGGAAAGGTGCTGAGGGTGGGAGAATTTGACCAGGGGTTCCTAATAGGCTGTGGGATTAGAGAAGCCCTACCTGGCAAAGTGAGGTTTAAACTAACAAGAAGGAGTAGCACAGGGGGGTGGGGTGGTGCTAAAGGCATTATATTTCAGAGAGAGGAAGGGCAAGTGTAAAGGTCCTGGGGTGACAACAGTCATCTTTTAGTATATATGGGAGAAGAGCAGTTTAGCTGAACAGTGAACATGGGGAGGAATGAGGCTGAAGTTACCCCAGGGCTAGATCCTTTGATGTCCTACACACCTAGGGTGATGGAGGGCTGTGGAGGTACTTTAATCAGGGCGGAGAAGTGAATAGACTCCCAAGCTTAAGGGAGTTCTCTGGATATAGCCCAGAGAGTGGATTGCAGAGGGGTCAGGGAGAACGCAGGGAAACATACCAGGGAGCCTATGGTGGCTTGGACCAGAGTGGAGGCAGCTGAGGAGAGGGAATGGGTTTGAAGACCTTTTAGGAAGCACAATTGATATGACTAAGAATTGGTTCTTTTCCATTCATTTACTGAGTGTCTACTATGTGTCCTGCACTGTTCTGGCCCTGGGGAAGGACATGAGCAAAACAGAGCCTGCTTGCATGAATCGTTCCAGTCAAGGACAGGGGAGTGGGTAAAACAATGCACTCTGCCAGGTGGTGATAAAACAACAAAGTAAAATAGAGCAGGCTTAGAAGATAGAGCCTGAACACTCTTTTAGATGTTGTTACTTACGGTAGCCAGGGAAGACCTCTGTGCTGAATTTGCTTTCGAGAAGAGGTAAGGATAGAGGGAAAGAGTGAGCCATGGAACCATCTGTAGGGAGAGGATGTGAGCAAAAAAAGTGGTAGCATTAGAGCACATTTAGCATTTTGAGACAGAGCAAGGAATCCCGTATGGTTGGAGCAGAGTGTTTGCTTTCATCATCTTCTTATTTTCTAAGACTTTCTGATAATGTTGGTTATGCTTTTCTTTGTGCTTATAGCTCATTGTTGGAATCTGAACGATGAGCGTTCCTGTTCTCTGTCCAAATACTGGAGTAGTGGATTTGTGGCTTTACAAACTGCAATTAATGCTGCTATTATACAAGTAAGAAAAGTTCTAGTCATTAAGCTAATTCCATAGGCATCAAGGTTTTGATGAAAGATGATATATCTCAGGTTTTCATGTTTATAAAATGAAGCAGGTATACAAATGCTGAAATTGGATTTAGGCAAAGGAACACATTGTTTTTGTTTTTAACTTGAAATTTTCGAGTAGTTTCAGAATGACAAAAAATTGCAAAAACCATGTGCAGGGAGGTCCATGTACCCTTCACCCAGTTTCTCCTGTTATATTTTGCATAACCACAGAACAATATTAAAATCAGGAAATTGATATTGGTATAATCTCCATAGCTTATTCAGATTTCACCAGTTTCTGTTTTTTATTTTTATTTTTAATTTTTTAAAAAAGATTTTATTTATTTGACAGAGAGAGAGACAGCGAGAGAGGGAACACAAGCAGGGGGAGTGGGAGAGGGAGAAGCAGGCTTCCGCCGAGCAGGGAGCCCGATGCGGGGCTGGATCCCAGGACCCTGGGACCATGACCTGAGCCGAAGGCAGACACTTAATGACTGAGCCACCCAGGTGCCCCAGTTTCTGTTTTTTAAATAATGATTTTATTTGTTTAAACCCTACTGTAGATCACAACAAATCACTCTGTGATGGAGGAGTTGATGTCTCTTACTGCTATAAATATGAAGACTTTACCTTTTATTTATAAAGACATTCTTCAAAAGGAGCTGTTTATTTTCTACTGCCTGCTTTACTTTTTTCCATTTATATATTTTTTATCACTTAATGTTACAAAAGAGAGAAAAAAGTGCAAGGATTTTATGAAAATGATGGGTCTGCAAGAATCAGCCTTCTGGTGAGTGAGCAATTCAAGCAGTGCAAATGAAGAATCAGAAATTTGGAAGCAGTAAACAAAGTGTTATTATTTCAAAAGGTTATGGGTTAATCCTGACACATTGGCCCTCTTTTCTTTTGTTCAGATTTTTTTATTTACTCCTTTTAAAATTTTGCTCTGCAAAATAGCGATTATAATTTGCTGAGAGCTTTTTCCATGCCTTGAATATATTAAGCTAATGCTGTGATAGAGGTTCCATGAAGATCGAAGAGTAAAAGAGATGCCCAATGTCAAAAGGATGATATGTACCAGAGCTGGGACTCCAACCCAGCTGCCCTGATTGCAACTCTCCTGCTTGTTCTGCCCACAGTTATCATTTGATTCCTCCACACTTCCTCATGTTGAAAAAAGTATGATCCTATAATGGCTAGCTTGTGTTCAGAGGTTTGGTCACCAGGGATATATTTTTTGCAGCACTTAAATGCCATATGTTGGAGTTGAGATAGCATATAAAATGTGCCCAGCACGTACACCACACTTAGAATGGCATAAAAGGGCTTAATAAGAGCATTTGCTTCATATATTGATATATTTGTATCTTGCCTCATTCATAAATGATTTAAATGATTTTTAAATATATATATTTAAACATATGTATATTTATCCAAATATCTGTGTGTATTTTTATTATAATAAAAACAAATAATTGAGGAGTAGAAACAAGGACCTAACAAAATGATAAGTAGGTAAGACTAGCAGATAAAAATGCAAATCATACAAGCTCTAAGCTTCCAACAGGCCAAAGCAGAGAATTCTGCACTGCAATCAGTTACAAAATCCACATTGTCTAGGAAAAGGAAAAAATGAAAAATAATCTGTTTATTTTACCCTAAAAGAAGCTTAACATTTTTCAGTATCAAATCCTGTAAGATATTTCTTTGTATAGTCCCCATATCAAGAAAATTACTCTTTATGAGTGTAGGATTACCTGGAACTGATAAGGAGTTATTTGCAAGCCACATGTTCTCTGAAATAAAATTATGTCTAGGAAATTTTAAATTTTCTATAAAGTGTATTTGATTAAAAGAGGGAGTTTTGATTCTCTTATACCTTAATCATGAAATAGAAAAAGAGGAAACTGTTCCTGAAATGAAAAGGGAAGTAGAAAAGTGGTTTGCAGTGGAACTTTAGCAAATGCAAAGGAATGAATGGAGTCTATTAGGAGGGAAAAGGGGGGAAATCTGTGTAAAAAGGACCATTTTTCAGTCCAGGGAATATCCTGTGGGGCAACATCCTGCAGTCACCCAAAAATAGATAGGCACAAGTCAACTCTAGATTAAAATCAGAAAGGTATTGGATATTCAGATGTGGGTTCATTCTCAGGATAAATGCTTCCTAGTTTTCATGTAACCTAAATTTAACAAAATGGTTTTATATGTCCTTAAAACTAAGAAGGAAAAAAATCCGAAATGTTTTTATTAAGTACAGGGTGTCTGTTGGAAATAAACTTTTTGGCAACCTTTTTTTAAGTAATGTAATAAATGTGAAACACATCAGCATTTATTATTTCAGTGTGATACCTGAATTACTTTGTTTTTATCATGAAGGTTTTCATTGCTTTATTAACATCTTCCCCTCCCCCCCACCCCCGCAATTCCCTGCAATGAGTTCCCTTTTCTAGGTAATGTTTTAAGTTCCTTCATTTCTAATTCTCCTACTCTAGATTTTCAATTCCTACCTATAGTTGTTCCCTTCTGTACTCAGGAAGTGGATTCTGCAAAATGCAATATGCTTTCCAAAAACGCTGATGTTTCTGACAAAGGCTGAATCACTGTAATGACATGACCTTTAAAAAGAAGTCGAATAAGCAGTAATTAAACGTATTGTACTGGGACATACTGATGCAAGTTCCTGGTTTTAATAGTCTTGCTATTTTTTTCAGCTGTTGAATTCTTATTTAGTTAGAGGCAATTTTATGTAGAGGAAAGAGCTGTGGACTAGGAAGGACTGCAACAAATCTTAGCTTTGTTATTGATTTACTTTGTTGACCTTGAAAAGACCCATTAAGTAATAAGAGGAACTACAGGTTTACTTATCTGGAAAATGAGAAGCTTGGACTCAAACACCCTGCAGGCTTGTTAGATCTAAGACTGAATACTATTTCTTAATAACTACCTCATAAACATGTGAACACCAGCACATCTAAAGCAAAGCAGTGTGAACACTTAAGGGTATACCATTATTTATGTCAGTTTAAAAAATAAATCATAAATAAGAATAGCAATAATAGGATGGGCTTCGTGGCATTATGAAATTTCAATTTTCTACTACTAGGGAGAGTGGAGGTCCTGCTGGCTGAGATCCTCAAAAGTGGTCAGTTATCATCTGCCCCAGTGCTTCCACGGTTACTTGATTGATCAGCAGCTGTTAAATTTCCTCCCACTTCTACAATTAGAACATCTCGTTAATATGTGATAACACTAAAGACAGAAAAAGCTTAATCTCTTTAATTTAGCAGTTACACCTTAGAGAAACTTTTGTGCATTTTCCAAAAAAGACAAGTACAAGAGTATTCTTTTTTCCTTTTTTTTTTTTAAATTAGTGTCAGAGGTAGAATTTAGTGATTCATCAGTTGCATATAACACCCAGTGCTCATTCCACCAAGTGCCCTCCTTAATGCCCATCACCCAGTTACCCCATGCCCCCACCCACCTCCCCTCCAGCAACCCTCAGTTTGTTTCCTACAGTTAAGAGTCTCTTACGGTTTGCCTCCCTCTCAATTTTCATCTTATTTTATTTTTTCTTCCCAAGTACAAGAGTGTTCTTAGCAACAGTGCATCAGAAATAAAAATTGGAAACAACCTAAATGTCCATGGGCAGGAAAACTTTGGGATATATTCAGAAAATGAACTATTACACAGCAGTGTATAACATTGTATATGTTGATTTATAAAGGCAAGCAGCAGAAGGACATATGCAAAATGATATTATTTATGCAGTGTTCATCCTGTTTATACAATATGTGAACCCAGAGTGGATGCCTAGCCAGTAGGCAGCAGCACAGACATGCCAATGTGGTATTAGCAATATTGTAGTTACTAATCTAGGTGGCAAGTAGAAGGGTAAATATTGTACTGTTCTTTAGATACTTTTATATGTTTCAAATATTTCATAATGAAGTTAAAATAATTGAAATAAATTTTTGTCTTTTTTTTTAGGCTCTCCTGTGGCTTAATCTATGCTGGCTTCATCTTCATTATTTCCATAATGATTACAGTTATTATAACATCTACCCAAATTATAGTCATGACGGGCTTCATGGTCATATTTACACTCTTTTTCTTATATGGCTTATCTTTGGTAAGTTCATACATTTATTACCACATTCTCTGCTTTAGATCTTAGCTATCTGTAGCAAAAATTAATTTCTCTGGAGGTTATTACAGTTATTTCCTTCATGTCCATTTTGTGTGTGCGTGTGTGTGTTTGCTTGAGAAAGTCTCAATGAGTGTGAGAAAATGAGGTAATGTAAATAAAATTGGACCTCTCTTTTGCATAAAGTTCTGAATTAATGAAATGATGCATCAAAAAGAAAAAAAAAATCCTGATTCTGAAAATATTTTGACTCTAAGACTTTTCTAGAAGATTTTAGTGAGGATGCCCTTGGGTGGACCCATCTCTTTTCCCCAAAGGTTCTCTGTAATATGGTGGCTTTCACAGTATCTCCCTCTGACACTCCACCTTGCCCTCACTCTCCGTGTCATGACTCTTCGTTCATAAAACAAGGGCCTCTAAATTCTGCAGAGGGTACGTAGATGCTTTTTGTCAATACATTAATGTAGGTTCTTTCAATGTTTCCAAGTCTGCATTTCTATTCTTTCCTCAACTCTCATACAGCTTTTCCCCGCCCTTTCTTAGCACCTAAAGCCCAGTAGCTGAGGAGGGCAAAAAAAGAGACTCTTTACAGAAGCGTTGAGGGAAGGGCTGAGCATTGTTGTACCTAAATATTTTCATCGCTGTCTTACTGATAAGTACTTATATTATGATCTAAAGATCTGTATTTTATTGTGCTGCCAATGATTCTCAGTGAACTAAATCTGTTTAACGACTAGATGTCTTCTCTCTCTTTCAGATAACTTTAACATTCCTGATGAGTGTGTTGTTAAAGAAAACTCTCCTCACCAATTTTGTTATGTTTCTCCTCAATGTCTTTTGTGGGGGTGTGGGATTCACTGTATATTATAGACAACTTCCTTCCTCTTTGGAGTGGATTTTGAGTATTTGCAGCCCTTTTGCCTTCACTGCTGGAATGAGTAAGGTAAGGATGTAGTTAATTGGTTTATTACTGAACTTTCAAAAGAATTTGATATTTCATTACTCTTCATAATCACTCTTTCAAATTAAGAGCATTTATTCTAAACAATTTTTTCCCTAAAGTTAGATTTGAAGATGTTATTATTGCATTGTAGAAAATCATCACACAAGGAAACTTGAACAAAAACGTCTTAACTAAGACAGATTTTCACATCTCAGGTGTATTTTCATTTTGAAGTATTCTCTTCTTGTTTTTCATATGCAACTGTTTACCTTTCCTTGTACTTTATATATTGAAGGCATTCTCTAGTTTATTAAAAACTGTTGTGTAAACCTCTGTTTGAACCTCAAATCTGAAAAGTTTTCAGGACTATAAAGAGTTTAGCAGTGAGGTCATATGATAAATGTCTTTCTCTGATAACATAATAAAAAAAAAGTATATGAAAAAAATGCTAAAAAAAAGAGTTTAGCAAATAATTATAAAGTATATCAAAATACTCATGAGCCAGATCAAGAAATGGAAGGATGCCACAAGTCCAAAACTTCTCCAAACACTCCTTCCTCCTAAAGATGAAAGTGTTGTGATCATCACTTCCTGCCTTTTCATTTATCACCTAATGTATGTTCCTAAGTATAATTTTTTAGTGTTGCCTGTTTTCAACTTTATATAAGTGATACTCTACAAAGTGTTTTTTTTTAAATCTGGCTTTTTTCCCACTCAACATTATGTTTTTAGATATCATCCACAGTTGGAGTGTCGCTGTAGTAGAGTGTTCTGTAGTATCCTATTGTGTGACTATGCTATCGATTTTCTTATTGATGAACAAAAATATTTTCCAGTTTTTGACTAATATTAACTCTGAAAAAAAAATTCTTATACATATTTCCAGTGAATATGAGCATTCAGTTCTGTTTGGTATATACGTAGGAGTTGAATAGTAGGACCTAGGGTGTGTATATCTTAATCTTCATAGCTACTGCCAGATATTTTTCCAAAGTGATTGCATCAGTTTACTTTTGCAGCAAGAGTTTCAGAGTTACAGTTGCTCCAAATCTTCACCGGCATTTGGTATTGTCAGTCTTCCAAATTTTAGCCTTTCTGGTGGATCTGCAGTAATAATCCTTGTGGTACTAATTTGCATTTTCCTTATTTTTTATGAAATTTAATTCTCTTTCATATGTGTAGAGGTATTTTGGTTTTTCTCTTTTATAAAGTACCTATCCAGGTCTTTCCTCCATTTTTTTAAAAAGATTTTTTTTTTTTATTCACTTAAGAGAAAGAGCGCAGGAGAGAGAAGGAGTGAGAGCGAGAGCATGAGCAGGGGGGAGGTCAGAGGCAGAGATAGAAGCAGACTCCCCTCTGAGCAGGGAGCCTGACAAGGGGCTCAATCCCAGGACCCCAGGATTGCAACCTGAACCGAAGGCAGACGCTTAACCAGCTAAGGCATCCAGGTGTCCCTTTCCCCCGTTTTTTAACTGAAATTTTTTCTTTTCCTTATTACTTTTTATGGATTTCTTATATATACTGTATATGAGACATTTTTCAGTTATTTGTTGCTGACATTTTTACTCTCTTAACAGTGCTTTTAATGAACAAGTTTCTTAATTTTGATAAAGTGCAGTCTGTCAAGTTTTCTTCTCTGTAGGGTGCTTTTGTATCTTTAAGAAATCATTGCATTCCCCAAGATTATAAAGATATTCCCCCATGTTTTTATCTGGAAGCTCAGTTGATTTTGCTTTTATATTTAGATATAAAATCCATTTCAAAATAACTTTTGTGTATCTATAGGTAGAAGGAATATTAATTTTTCTACATGAATATGCAATTTCTTCTGCTTCATTTATTGAGAAGGCCATCCTTTCTTTGAACGGACTGTAGCGTTTCCTTTGTCACAGCTCAACCAATCATGTATTGACCTATCTTTGCACTATTGCCACATTGTCTTGTTTTTGCTGATGTGTCTTGCTATCTGGTAGTAATAATTTTACCACTTGATTTTCTTTTCCAAGAGAGCCTTTTCTATTCTAGGTTCCTTGAATGATGTAAATTTTAGAAGTAACTTATCAAGTTATACACACATGTATGTGTGCACAAAGCTGTTGACATTTTGATACAGTTGAATTTTTCAATCAATTGGAGGGAAATTGACACTTTTTAAAAAGATTTACTTATTTATTTGAGAGAGAGAGAGCACTTGCGGCAGGGAGGGGCAGAGGGAGAGGGAGAGAGAGAATCTCAAGCAGACTCCCCACTGAGCACAGAGTCCATCCCTGGGTGTGTGTGGGGGGGTTGGATCCCTTGACCCTGAGATCATGACCTGAGCTGAAATCAAGAGCTAGACGCTTAACTGGATGAGCCACCCAGGCGCCCCAACACTTTTTTAAAATCATGAACATGATATATCTTCACATTCATTTTCCCTTAGTAATTGTTTTAGTTTTAAGTATTGAGTCTTGCACATTTTTTATATAGTCCAAAGTTTTTGATACTTTTGTTGCCATTATAAATAGCATCTATGTTTAAGTTCTTATTTTTAAATGTTTGTTGTTAATGTAGAGAGATGCAACTGATTTCTGTAAATTGGCACTGTATCCGGTATTCTTGCTATATTCTTTTCTTTTCTTTTTTTTTTTTTAGATGTAGTGTTCCATGATTCATTGTTTGTGCATAACACTATTCTTTTCTTAAAACTAGTATTTTTCTGGACTTTATCTTGAGATTTTCTTACATATAGTCATGATGTCTACAAATAATGAGGGTTTATTTTTTCCTTTTGCAGTTCTTATGCCAGTCACTTATTTTTCTTGTCTTATTGCAGAGACTGGGACCTTTAGTACAATGTTAAATAGAAATGCAAGCAAAGGAAAGGCTTTTAACATTTCATAATAAGCATGATTTTTGTTGTTGGTCCTTGTACATCTATTTTACCAGATTAAGGAAGTTCGCTTATTTTCTTAGTTTTGAAAAGACTTTATTGTAAATGGATATTAAATTGTATCAAATGTGTTTTGTGCATCTATTTGATTAAACACACTAGTGTCTTCTTTGATCTGTTTTATGTTGAATTACATAGATTAATCTTCAAATGTCACCCCAGACTGTGTTCCCAGAATAAACTCAACTTTGTCATGAAATGTAAGCTTTTAACATAAGTAGAGTTGTATATTGTCTAGCGTGAGGAACTGGGCTTGAGAGCTGGACTTCCTGTGTTCTGAGTTCACCTTTACCACTCCTAACTATGTGATTTTGACTTTGGTTGGTTAAGCTACTCAATTTCTATTTGCTTCACTTTTACCATATGTAAAATGCACATAAAAATAATAAGGCTTGTTCTGGGGGTTATGATGAGGATTTAATGAGATATTATAAACAGCCTTAGAACAACACCTAGAACATAACACTTATTATTACATGAGAGAATTATAAACATATCTTTATTTGCAGTAATAACTAGAAAAAGAAGTTGTCTTATCATTATTCTACTAAGATGTTTCGAATCTTCATATTCTTTCTAAATATTTTTTGCTGCAAAGAATAAATATTTTGCAATATTACAATGACTTTATGAAAACAAGAAAATGACTTATCATTTAAATTCCTATTCTTAGGGGTGTGTGGGTGGCTCAGTTGTTTAAGTGTCTGCCTTCAGCTTAGGTCATGATCCCAGGGTCCTGGGATCAAGCCCCGTGTTGGTCTCCCTGCTCAGTGGGGAGTCTGCTTCTCCTTCTGCCTCTTCCCCCTGCTCATGCTCTCTCTCTCAAATAAATAAATAAAATGTTTTAAAAATATCCCTATTCTTAGAATATTGTATTTTTTAAGTTGGTATTTCCTTCTAATAATCCCTGGATTGCTGTCAAATAGAAATAGTTACACCAGTAACTTCATTATAAAGCCTTCTCAAAAAAGCTGTTTAATAAAATGATAATTCTTGCTGCTATGCTGAATTATTTGTATGTATTTATCTTAAATATTTACTAATTACTATTTTTGTCTGAATCTTAGATTATCTACTTGGATAATACTATGAATGGTATAATTTTTCCTGACCCTTCAGGAGACTCGTATGTAATGATTGCAACTTTTTCCTTACTGGCTTTTGATGCACTTTTCTACTTGGCATTGGCATTATACTTTGACAAAATCTTACCCTGTAAGTAAAAGTGGCTTTTCTCTGACCTCTGCACGTATTTATCATATTGTACATTTTTACTGAAGGTTATATAAATGTATATTAAGCAATAAAAAATAACAAATATTTCCCATCACAAGCTGAATGAGTTCTTTATTTCTACTTGATAGTTCTAATGGTTTGAATTTATATGTAAAAACAATTATTCTTCTGATTTTAATAATATACATTACAAATATACAGTAATTAAATGTTACTTTTTTTCAAGAATCTCTGAACATGTTTTCAAAGAATGATATTTAAGATTTGTTTCAGAACAGGCTGAAATAAATTAGTTCTTAACATGGCTTTGGCTAGGGTAGAGCCATCATATGGTGAAAATGCTTCTTAATAAATAGTTCTTGGGACAGCTGGGTGGCTCAGTCAGTTGAGCATCCAGCTCTTGGTTTCAGCTCAGGTCATGATCTCAGGGTTGTGGGATCGAGCCCCATGTTGGGCTCACTGCTCATCAGGGAGTCTGCTTGAGATTCTGTCTCTCTTCTCCTCCCTCCACCTGTGCTCTCTCTCAAATAAATAAATAAATCTTTAAAAAAAAATAAATAGTTCTGACAAGAATGTGGGGCAGATTGTAAACTGAACCACTAAAAAGGGCTTCATGTATGGAATAATCAGGTTCTCCCTTATTCCCCCTAGGAGGAACATTTCAGAAGGGGAGATGTCCATCCTTTAAGGAAATAACAACATAAAAATTAGAAAGAACATTTTCAGCATTATTCTGAACTTTTTTGTATGTTGTTCATATTTACAGAACTATATTACTAAGTTAAATTTTCTCTATCTTACAAACAAAAATTTCCCAAGTCCAGAATTCCTTCACACATGCTAAAATCAGAACGCTTTTTTTCCTTGCACAATCATATTTATTTATATTATTTTTTATGTTCTTTCCACTTTGTATTTAAAGCTGTCTTGTATGTTTCTATGCAATTATTTTATATATTCCTATCTTTCTGTGACTTCTGGTTTAATATCTGAAAGCTCTTCATAACAAATCCTACTTCATTGTTTTAAATTTGGAATATGACAATATATTTATCCTGAACAGATACAATTTCTTCCTGTACTTTGCATTCCCATACCATATGGATTTCAGTATTATGTCCAATCATATTGTTGTGATCAAGTGGTTTCTTTCTTTCTTTCTTTCTTTCTTTCTTTCTTTCTTTCTTTCTTTCTTTCTTTCTTTCTTCCTTCCTTCCTTCCTTC